GAAAGAGAGCAGTTTCAATTTTGGAGGGGATTAAGATTAACAAGCCATTCTTTGCCTCGGTTAACAACAGATTGTAGGTCATTTTTTTTAGATCGGCTGCCAATTTAACCGTATGGAAACTATCAGACTTACTATTAAGACAGGAGTAAATAGTTGTCATCATAATACATACTGAGTTGAGAACTGATGACACCAGGACTGTCATTTATTAATGTTAGAAACGATAGGTCCAAGTGTAGAGCCCTTGGGGACACCTGCATTAGTACAAAAATATCTAGAAGGGTGGCCGTTCAAGACACCTTTCGTTTTGCGATTTGATAAAGAAAACTGAATCAATTCGAAAATTCGTCCAGAAATACCATAACTTCTCAACTTGTGAAGAAGATCTGTTCCAAATCTTGTCGAACGCTTCCGAGGTGTCCAAAGCAACATCCAGAGCTTCACCATTAATTAAAGCTTTGGCAGACACTTCCAGCAATAATCGTTAATACATCGTCAGTGGGCTTAGAGAAACGAAAGCCATCATGCTCATCTGAAAGACCTTACGAGGTGAGATGCTTAACCAATTCACAGTTGATGAGAGCCTCTAATACTTTACCAAAAAGTAAGCTAATAGGCCAGTAGTTAGAAGGATCATACGATCCGCTTGAATCCTTAAAAACTGGAGCTACAGAAGAGGATTTCCAACAAGCAGTAAAGCAAGAAACATCAAAGCATTTATTGTAGAGTGTAGAGAGAACAGGAACCAATCCAGAAGCACATTTCTTAAGGACTATTGAAGGAATAACATCAAGTGCACGTGATTTGCGAGGATCCAGTTTAGAGATGATAGCAGAAACCATTGACAGGGTTATTTGTATATCACTAAATAGAGGTTCAGTTTTAAGTGGAAAGTCAAAAATTCTCCAAACGAGTCAAGGGTAGAATTTGATTAGGATTTAAGAGCAAAAGCTGCTTTATCAACAGATGTTAACGCCTCAAATTGAATGAAGAGGGGAGGAATAGAAGGGTTATTCTTCTTATTTTTTTTTTATTTAATCTATTACAGAGACACCAATATTCACGAAAACCAAACTTCGTTAGAGGCTATATCAACAAACAAAAACTTACCTTCTTTGATGGCACGTTAAGAATTATTACGAGCAAATATAAAGAGTTGCGTTTGAAACTATCAGTCGGGAAAAGTTGAGGCTACACCGGCTAAACAGGCCGGTCTGTATTAAGACAAATCTCTTTTTACATGGTATTGCTGAGAAAGTGCAAAAGCGTCTCTGCCAGTTTTAAACCAAGAAGAAAGCTATGTCGCACACTTTTCAATAGGAAGATTAAGAATATCAATCCAAGGGGTGTCTCGAAGAAAGTTACAAAATGAATCCCAATCAGTACGCTGGTAACAGATAGAAGCCTTGTGAATATGATATGTTCCTGTCTTATAGACGACCCAAAATAAATATCATCAGATACTGCAGCATGTTGTGAATTACCCAGAGGACAGAGTTGTGAACCATGGGGAGGATGTCATGAAAACAAGAATCAATTAATGAGGAGTGTCGATCAGATTTATCACGAGAACGAGTAGGGAAATACACTATTTGATTGAGAGACTGAGCAACAGAAGAATTGAATTTTCGCTAAACCCTTCACTTGTTATTGGTGGTCGGCTTCAGGTTGTTCTACTGCCAAAAGTGGGTGTCGTACTGGGAAGGTAAAATTCCATCACAATCATACAAGCAATCCTAATAACTTTTTAAAATTTGCATTGTTAAGAAAAGCGTTTCAAATCATAACGTTTATTCCGTTTTTGTTTATTTTTCACAAATGTTTTTTTTTGTGTAGACGATTTTCTCCCTATTATTTACTATTCATATATATATAACAAAAATGTAAAATCATCTCATGGAGAATAGCCTATTTCGGCAGACGAAGATATCGGTCGTCTGTCTCATCAACCCCGGAGTTCGTGTCAGAAAATATATATATATATACACACACACACAAATATTCTTTTCGTATTTATTTCTGTTATTCATCATTTACACAGAAATTATAATAATAGTAAGAATAAGTGGCCCATTTGAAGACGAACTCTTTATTCCGATATCCAGTGTAAACTAAATGTGTGAATGTGTTTATATTTAAACTTTAAATTTGTATTCATTTTAAGCGATCTAATTTTATGTTAATATTCCTTTGATTTCCACTGCTGGTTTAACTTTCAGAAAGTTTTTAATAATTTACTAATTCCCTCTTATTCTGAAAGCGTTATTCGGCAATCTTTCTAAAGATGATGTCTCTATAAAAGCAGGCAGCCTCCTGTGCTGTAAACAGGTTAATAGGAGTAGATGGGTTCGTCTATAGCCTTTCCATGTTTAGTCAACGGGAGTAGATGCTTATCCCTTGTTTCCTGTTTACGATATGGTTTTCTATTGCCTTAATTATTTAACCGTCTTAAATAGTTTGTTTTGATGATCGGAGTGATCAGTGGCGGCAACTTTTCTTTATGAGGGTACTGGGATGAAAGCTTTTTTTTTTTTTTTATAGCTGCTTCCGACTAGTAGTAACGAGTTCGAACTCTTAGGGGCGCTGAGAGAAGCTGCTCTGATAAACAATTGGATAATATCAGGATATTTGTAGTATTATATGGCGTATGGGTAAGTCTCATTGCATGTATTTCCGGTGTGCAACTCTGAGGTCACTTTCTGGCCAGAGATGATAGTAATAATTATTTGGTCTTTTTCTTATCAAAACAAAATCTTATGACAGATGCAATTATAATGCAACAGATTAAAAGTTGCTCATAAAAAAAAAAAAAAAAAAAATAAAATACATAAAATAAAGAAAGAAAAAAAGACGACGGAATATATTTGAATTTTATTTTTTTTATAGAACTGTGATGAATAAATTATCGAAATGCACGTTTTTGTTGTTTTTTTTTTCTGTTTTTTTTTTCTCGTTTTAATAAATTTGAAATAAATAACGATTAAGTAGAGATCAACCAGTTGCCATGGTAACGGTTGTCAACAGCAACAAATGGTGGCCATGCCCACATTGACTGGCCACACAGACAACAATAACGGAAGAAAGACTGAAAAGTCAATAACAAAAAAAAAAAAAAAAAAAAGCAAAACTGGTTGGACAACAACAAAGTGCTCAAGGGAGGAGAAAAAAAATGGCTGTCATGGCTTTTATACACACATAAAAAAAAAAAAAAAAAAAAAGAAAAATAAAACAAGTTATCTCCCTTCTCACCAGTTTCTCCACACTATATTTTTTTTAAACTAAAGATTATTCACGTTGAAATATTCGATACTTTCAGGGATACATTGTTCAGGAGAAATTGGAATTTTAGCTTTCCTCAATCCGTTACAATCGGATGGAAGTTAAAAATAACAAAAACGCTACGGACATTTCAAGAGGCACTTTGTTGTGGGAATATTGGTGAAGATATAAATATATATTTAGATAAATGTCTATCTCTTTGAAAATATTACAAGTAGATGCCAAACTTAACCAGTCCAGACGGAAAACAGTTCGTGACAAATCATTATTTTCTAAATGGGCAGAGGGATCTTTTTTTCCTTAAAATATTTACAAAGGCGAGTTTAATGTGAACTTGTGCCCAGGCAGATAAGAGATCTACTGAAGAGCATGGGTGTGCAGATAGTGTAATGGACAGAGACTCTGAATTGGAAATTGCAGAGCAAAGTTCGAATTCCAGTCAAAGGTATTACTCCACTTCCTTTATACAAGTTATTAATTAAATAATATAACTTGTAACAGTAAAGAACATTTTATTCTTAAAAAATAAAATAAACAATTGAGAATGCAATATTCACTAGCCAAAAATATTAAGATCCAAACAAACAAAAAAAAAATGTTTCGCCTTTAAGTAACCCACAAAGGCTTGATAATTCGTAAAAATCAATCAATCTATTGATGAGCTCAGTACAGTAGCAATTACATGCTAGACAAGCTTGTCAAATATCGCAGGTACCTCGAAATGTATTATGGTTTTAATGAGAGGAAAAAAACATTAAAAGTATACAGCATATCAGATTTGTGTAGCTTAACACCCAGCACTAATTCGGTTGGTGAGGAGGTAAGCATTTCATAAAGACAGTAGGATTTGAAAGAACTCAACTAGTTAAATTCGTAGAGCTACTGTACAATCTGTTTTTTTGTTTCTTTTCAGACCAAACCAACTGAACTTAATAACAATAAGCCCAAGTTATCCATTTTATATCGCTTATCGAAATTTGTTTTTAATTTTTAAAGAGTTGATTTACATAAACTGTAAACATCATGCAGAACTGGAATATAATGACATTAGAAAAAAATGTTAGTCTCAAGAAAAACATTTTTCTAAAATTTAAAGTCACTTTTCAGGATTTGGATAAAATAGTTTTTTCATAGTGAACAGGCAAAACGAAACAGTCTTGATGAGCGGCTCTTGGTAATATTAATGAAATTTTTCCATGTTTAACATTTGCTACTATTAAACAGTGTAAGAGATTTCTGACATTAATATGATTTTACAAGAATATGAAATTTTACAAAGTAAATTCAAAAAGTATCTTGGACGGAAATTGGCGCAGGTTTTTTTGAATAAAACTTTTCTACTACCATCTTCTAAAAACGGAAAAAAGATAAATTGGAATAGAAATAATAATAAAAAAAACACTATAATTAAATTGTCATTATATTGGGTAAATCCTATTGTTTTAGCCCCAGTTTTCACATGCAATGAATAAATAAGAGAGAGAAGAGGCAGAAAGAGAGAATTTTTAGAGAAAGAGAGAAGGGTGAAAGAGAGAAGAGGTAGAAAGAGAGAGAAGAGGTAGAAAGAGAGAGAAGAGGTAGAAAGAGAGAGAAGAGGTAGAAAGAGAGAGAAGAGGTAGAAAGAGAGAGAAGAGGTAGAAAGAGAGAGAAGAGGTAGAAAGAGAGAGAAGAGGTAGAAAGAGAGAAGAGAGAGAAAGAGAGAGAAGAGGTAGAAAAGACTTTTAAAGAGAAGAGAGAAGAAAGAGAGAGAGAAAGAGAGAAGAAAGAGAGAGAAGAGGTAGAAAGAGAGAGAAGAGGGAAAAGAGAGAGAAGAGGTAGAAAGAGAGAAGAGGAGAAAGAGAGAGAAGAGGTAGAAAAGAGAAGAAGAAGAGAAAGAGAGAGAAGAGGATAAGAAGAGAAGAGGTAGAAAGAAGAGAAAGAGGTAGAAAGAGAGAGAGAGAAGGCAGAAAGAGAGAAAAGAAAGAGAAGAAAATAGAAAGAGAGAGAAGAGGGAAAGAGAGAGAAAGAAAGAGAGAGAAGAGGTAGAAAAGAAAGAAGAAGAAAGAAAGAGAGAGAAGAGGTAGAAAGAGAGAAGAAGTAGAAAGAGAGAGAAGAGGTAGAAAGAGAGAGAAGAGGTAGAAAGAGAGAGAAAGGTAGAAAGAGAGAAGAAAAAAGAGAGAGAAGAGGAGAAAGAGAGAGAAAGAGAGAAGAGAGAGAAGAGGTAGAAGAGAGAGAAGAAGAGAAAGAGAGAGAAGAGGCAGAAAGAGAGAGAAGAGGCAGAAAGAGAGAGAAGAGCCAGAAAGAGAGAGAAGAGGAGAAGAGAGATGAAAGGAGAAAGAGAGAAAAAGAGAAGAAAGAGAAGAGGGAGAAAGAGAGAGAAGAGGTAGAAAGAGAGAGAAGAGGTAGAAAGAGAGAAGAGGTAAAAAGAGAGAAGAGGTAAAGAGAGAGAAGAGGAAGAAAGAGAGAGGAGGAGAGAGAGAAGAAGAGAGAGAAAGAGAGAGAAAGAAAAGAGAGGAAGAGAAAGAGAGAAGAGGTAGAAAGAGAGAGAAGAAGAAAGAGAGAGAAGAGGTAGGAGAGAGAGAAGAGGTAGAAAGAGAGAGAAGAAAAGAAAAGAGAGAAGGTTTTAGAGAAGAGGTAGAAAGAGAGGAGAAAGAGAGAGAAGAGGTAGAAAAGAGAAGAGGCAGAAAAAGAGAGAGAAGAGGCAGAAAGAGAGAGAAGAGGTAGAAAAAGAAAAGAGAAAGAAAAGAGAAAAAAGAAAATATGGTGGGGAAATCGAGAAAAGAAAAAGAAAAGAATTCAGCCACCCCATGGCTATTTTGCCGAACTCGGCGCCACTAATCTTACAATTTCAAACGGCACCGTTTCATCCTAGAAAGAACAGAAAGGAAAAGGGATCCAAATAAAACGCCTATTTTATAGGCAGACACAATTAGGAAGATTTACACACGTTTACATTTTTATGCAACTATTACTGCGAAACTATTAAACAAAAGTAAAAAGAAACTGGAAATACAGTTTATTTATGTTTTTCTACATTCATTGTAAGAGTTCAAATCGGACGGAATAATTTCACTTCTGATTATTAACGACAATTATACTTTTTTTTTCTTTTTTTATTTATTTATGGCTAGTTTCTTTCCACTTTATAGCAATATGTAAATATAAATTTAAAATATATTTGTGATTTAAAATTAATTTTATCTTGTAAAACTAAGATTTATTTTAAATATAATTTCAGTTTCCAAAATTCCAAGTCAAAATGAAGCGGATCTGAAAGTGGGGAATGATTGTTTATTCGTAAAAATAAAGTGAATTTTAAGAGTGAATTTTAAGAGTTTTGATTGATTTTCTCAAAAGTAAAAGTTATTGGTGGAATTAATACAATAAACTAAAAGTGTTCAGTATAAAAAATCGAGTTTATAAAATGCGAATTATTTGACTGAACTGATACGATTAATGAATCTGCTTTCATTTTTTTTTCCATGTCTATAAAAATAGATCGGCGAATTTAAGATTTTTCCTGAAAGAATTTTTGAAATAAATACAGTGTAACCCGGATATAAGAGAGATTTTCTCTGGTCCCAAATTAGAGCCATACTTACCTAAACAAAATAGACCAAACCCGGATATAAGAGACGACTTCTCCGGTCCCGACAACTCTTACATCCGGGTTACACTGTATTTTCTTTATTGGATTTAGTTTCAGATCAAAGATTGAGTTATAGCGTTTAGGGAGCATTTAGTTCTTTACACAGAAAAATTTTAATTTCTATTTAAACAGTTAAAAAGTTCTCTTTCAAAAGTTTGACTTTTTAGGACTTATTGAAGTTAAGTAATGTAAAGTTACTGCTATATCTGGAAGAATATTACAATTATGAAAGACTTGCCTAAGGCTGAGGAAATAACTTTATGCAAAACAATTTGATACTTAAAAAGCTAGGCTCAACTTCAACACGAACCTTGTTTTTTTCGTTAGAGAAATGAATTCGTGTATCAAAATCGTAACTACTTAATAAACAAACAAATTAAAAGAAAATAAATCGACACAGAATTCCCGCCTTGAATTGTTGATTTTTAAATTAAAAAAGATAAGAAAAAAAAACCTGTGAACATTTTGAGGATTTATGGCGACGATCGTTTAACAATCAGGGTAATTAAGGAAGCAAATGACGAGGGCCCGGAACATTACTTTGGCGATAAAATTCATCAGATGAAGGGAAAAAAAATGAAAAATTATGCTTCTCAGTATCTAAAACTGAGAATTGTCCCCGGAAGGAAGGAAATTAATGACTCTACTGACAGCGAATGAAAGGCTTTGAAAATTTAAGTTCACTGATTTTATCATTTTCTAATGTTAAATATCATCTAGAAAAAAATAAAATAACTATATAGCTGTAACGGTTAATGAATTGGGGTTACGGGGGGGGGCAGATAAATACCCTACAACGGGTAAGTATTTTGCCATTAACCAAAATTTCAAAACTTCCATTGAAAAAAGTCCAGTAAATTATATTTTGGTTATCTCAGGCTAAATGTTGGGTGTGGAGAGTTTCTGGTGAGGGAGGAACGAAAACTCCCAAGTCCCATTTAGAAAAAAAAAAATAACTAAGAAATTTAACCTTTTTAGGATAAATTTCTTCAAACATGCAGTCAAATATACTTTTTAAACAAGAATCATGGTTTTTTTTTTGTGTTCGTGTTTTTTTGTTTTTTTTTGTTTTTTAAATACACATAGAATAACAGTCTTTTTCAGAAAAATGGGGTTAAAAATGATAAAAGAAAAAGAAAATCAGGAATAACGTTGTTCGCATTTTTTGATGTGATGGTAAACTTCTGCTAATCGTTCTTTGAGGATTTTAATATTTTTTTCTGGCATGCTGGGGATCAAATAATGATAACTTTCATTTTCTACGAACGTGTCCTTAAGCACATCTCCGACATTGCCGGCAAAAAAGAGTTTCTTCAAGGCTTCCACAGTCGACTTACGGAATATACAAAGCGATTTTAGCATCGTTTCATGATAAACATGATATTTATCGAGAAGACGATAGCCATGAAATAATCCCGACTCGTTGTCTAGGAAAACGAGTTGCTGGTTGGACGGAATTTTAAGCAAATTGTGCGTCGGATTTTTCATCATATTAGCGTTCCATTGCTTATTGAACATATTATTGACCACTCTGTCTAAATTGGCCACCAAATAATCAAAGATAATCAAATCTGACCATTGCGCCAATTCACACAATTCTTTGTCACTTTTGGACGTCAAATCTGCTACCGGATGGAGTTCGAGTCCTTCTCCACGGAGTTCCTTTGGAATGAAAGTCGGTTGCAGGTCTGCTATCCACTGGCTGAGGACAACTACTTGATCGTCCATCCATTGAGATTGGGCAATGTCTAAGTGGATCTCGCTCCACCGACTGTGCTTTGTCTGGACAGCAAGAGCAATGGATGGCGCTAGATTTTTAATCTTAAGCAAGCGACTCAGATAGTAAGAAAAGATATCCCCTTGGATTTGGTCAGTGTTTAAGCGGTAACGGGCACACGCCTTACTAGAATCCCTGAATGTAAGAAGGCGGTTTTGCATTCGACCGCAGCCTTCCTCCATCTTGATAATCTGTAAGTTGCTTGCCTTCCGCCGCCAACTGGCACGTTTCTCTTCGGAAAACCCCATTACGCAAGCATCTTCCACCGATGATCGCCAATAAACTCCGTCTACAATGTCTGACAAAGAAAGGTTCTTCGGTGACACAGAAGGTGGGGGTGATGAAGATTTGACTTTCTGAGGGTCATTGTCTGAAGATCTTCCGTTTATTCGATTTATAGGAATTGAGAGGGTTAAGTGAACTTCGGTATCGAGAGGCAACGCTGTTTCTGACTCTGGTTGTAAAACCTTTGACTTTTCAAGTTCCAAATATGGAGCATCAGGATGTGGGGTTTCTTTTAGGGCTAAAGAATTGTTAGTGTATTGTACTACAGCTGATTCTGTCTCTTGTGGTCGACTCAGCCCTTTATCAGTTCGGTGTGATCCAATAACGAGGTCTTCGTTACTTAGGGGAGCGACCATCCGTTTATCGATGACGGCACCCGCCCCTCCTTGGTTAACTGCAGAATAATGAATATTGATTGTTTGCTGTAGTTCCTCGTAATTGGAAGGCACAGACATTACAGGCAATTGGATGAGAAGGCCAACGAGGATGCCAAAGAAAAAGCCGAGCCCCGTCATAAAGATAACCGTATATCTCATGTTGAGCTCGAGTCGCCTTGGAAGTCGAAACGGACTCAGCCTTGTCGAGCAATCGTGACATTTACACTCGTGAAGAGAAATACTGCAGAAGGGCGTAGAGAACTCCCGTTGATTGGACAATAAAACTTTCTTGTCTTCCATATAAACACACCAGAATTCCACGTTTATAAAAAGGTGGGTAAGTTTCAGAAATGAAAAAAAAAAAAAAAACTGGGGTAATTTTTAAAAGTTTAAATTTCTTATTTTAATCATATACATCAACATCTACCAATTTATTATTTTCTCATTTTGGGAAATAAAGTTTCCATCTTTGCTTTGGAAAGAGTTTTTTCACTCAGTTTGGTTTTTCATAAATTTTAGTTTTTACTTGAATAGTTTTTCCCCACCAAAAATTTATTTTCTGCAAAATTTTATTGAAGGTAATCGTAAATTATAAGTCAAACTCCAGGAATTCCACGAGAGATTTGGGGAAAAAATCTTGAAGGCTGTTGGTTTATCTGCAAAACAAAAAAAAAAAATACGAAAATATTAATAAAAAAATCAAATGTTGACATTTTATTTCTTGTTAAAAGGGATGCAGAAATTTTTCCGAATCAAACAAAAGGGAATTCCAAGAGAGATTCTATTTGGCCAAATTTTTCGAAGTGGGTTAAATAGAGAACGAGAAGAATTTTGGTAGTTTCTTGGTCAACAAATTGCGTTTTTTTTTTTTTTTTTTCCACCTGGACCCGTTGTCAATATTCGAGACTTTAAAATGGGATAGAATTGTTTTTTTTCTGTTCAGTTGGGTTTAATAAATATAAAGAAAAACAGATAAAACACCGATCGCAATGAAGATTCAACTTCTTGCCAAAATTCTATGAAAATTCTAAGCTAATTTTAGAAAGTAACAAATTTTGTGAAAACGCAAGAGATAGTTCCATTCATTTTTTTTCCCCAATTTAGACACGTATTTGAAGGTTTTGAAAGAACGTGAACTAATGGGTTCCCTGATGAAAAAAACGGGAGTAAAATGCAAGAGTTGATGGTCCGTAAAGAACATCAACAGAAACGGGAGTAAAATGCAAGTGTTGATGATCCGTGGGGAAGAACAAAACCTTCAAGTGGCATTTAAAGGTTAACTGAAACTGCTTCACCCAGTTAAATGTTTTGGTTAGACTCTAAGACGATTTCAAAGAGATCCAAATTTTAAATTCTACAAATCACTTTGGAGTATTTGGTTTATTCATAGCTTTTAACCTTCATTAAAATTATGGAAGGCATTTGATCAATTTTCAAATCGTTTGTGAATCCGACACAGGTTCTGTCCGCTTTAAATAAACTGAGTTTTTCAGCGCGATCACATGCAATTCTCTTAAGAATAATGCAATGGATACTGTCTATTGAGTTTCACAGTCGCTAATTTTAGCAAATAACCTAAGAAAAAATTCGAATTTTACTTTATATTTATTTGCAAAAAATGAAATTTAATCTTTCTAAACAAGATTACTTTACAATCCATAGAAACAAGCATATATGGGTTATTTGAAGCATCATAAATTGTTTACCAAAATCAGAATCTTTAGAAACATTCTCTGAAAACTTCATCAGAAAGTGTTCCTATAATCAGAAAAGTTGCAATATGAGCTCTGGTAAAAGAACATGCAATGATAACAGCAAAATTGCAATATGAACACTGGTAAAAATGGTTGCTGAAGACATTAGGTTTATAATACCCAGAAATTCATACACAGATGTCCTCAAGGACAGTGGATAAAGGCGTTGGTTTGATCCAGTGACATTAATTAAGACAGGACCCAAAGAGTGTGAGTTCAATACCCGGTTAAGACAGTGGAGAATTTTCAGAGGGAAACTTAACAGGAGATAACTGATAACTGACATCCGTTACTAGAACAGTCTACCCCAGTGGGCGAAATAAAGGGTTCAGTTCGAAATTCCAACCACCTGAAGAAGGCCGGAGCATACAATAATATATAAATATGGCGACAAAGATGAAGACTAATGTAAATAGCGTAAATAGTTGAATTATGTTTTTTTTTAGTCAAATTTCTTATTTCATAATACAACAATAAACGGCATCCTTCCTTCCGTTTTTGCTCCCCCCCTTACGTTAGAGAATGTAGGATACCCATGTGGTGATAGGATACATTGAGAAACGTTGTAATAAATATGGCGACAAAGATCGAGACAATAGTCCGAATAATGTAAATAATGTACATAATACAGATAGATAAATCAGAATTAAATTAGAGGAAGACACGTGCAAATGTCAATTTTGTATTTAAGAAAATTTACAGGACAATTTTTTTAAATATCAAATGAGCTGTTAATTCTTGAAGTCCTGAAAGGTGTAAGAGAAATCGTTCCCATTAAATTGGTCTGAGTCCAGTTTTACATTAAGTGGGAGAAAAAGTAATGAAACAAATTTTAAAATAGTCGTAAAAACGAGAACGGGTTTTAAAAGAAAAATAACGGGTTTAGCGAAACCAAAGAATACAGGAAAAAAAAAAAAAAAAAAAAAAAAGAAGAAATCATTTCACCAACCATTAAAAGGGAGAAAATGAAAAAATGTTAATGAAAACAAAGGACAATAAAAGAACGGGTATTGGAAAGAAAGACGGCAGCGATTGAGGACGCATTTAAAATTTTGAATATCGTAATTGATAAAAATTCCAATCGAGTTCTTTAGATTCACTTACGCACAAATACTCTTGAGAAAGGTATGAATCCATCCTCTAGCTATGGGTTAAATAGCAGGACATACCGGGTTATTTAGCCTTGGGTGGAAACCAGTCTACCGCAGAAAGAAATGGCAACATACTGCAGGAAAAATCTGCCTCATGTATCGAAAGACATGATTGCTCAAGCGTGTATCACGTACAACACTTAACTGACTGATTTGAGAAGAACGCAAGGAGTCAAAAGAAATCCATAGACGAGAAATGCGTAAGAAACCGTTAGAATAGAGCTTACATCGAGTTAATTCAACTGTAAAAGACCTTGTCGCCAACTTAGTAAACTTATTAAAAAAAAAAATAATAAAAAAGTAAAAGAAGATGCTATTATAGAAAAGACACAAGGAAAGTGATCTAAGCCAAGATGTCGGGCCAGCAGAGATAATATTACAGATTATTATTATTATTATTATTTTTGGGATCTTGTCTAGAATCTACAGATATTTAGTCGAAGCACCAGAGTAGATTCAGTAGCAACATTCAAAGAAAGATTCTGCCAACAGAAAAAATGCATGGCACGACACGTTGAACGAACGACCTTATAAATGATTCGATAATTTTAACAGTGTAAAATAAATAAACTTAATTAAAAGCAATATTGCTTGTTCAACGTCATATCCTGCGATCAGAGCCATGAACTCTTAAAACGTCTCAAAGAAAACTCAACAAATATGGAAGTAGTGAACAGTAGCCGACAAGAAAGCACGAGGTGTCATTTTGACCAGTTCTTATGAGAGACAATAAATATTTAAGTCTTCATTCCTTATCTTTTCAAGGATCAGCCCAGTGTTCCAATGTTATTGTAATACGCTCTACTATGGTGACGTTGATCAGGCAAAGCTAGATCAGTCATTTTGGATGGTTTCGTATTACCGTCTGTTGCCACTTAACCACAGGTTTATGAAGGCCGCTGACAGACAACAAATTGTTTGCAAACATTCAATGTAGACAAACCGAACTGATAAGTCTGCCAAAAGATTAAAAATAAACAAATAAAAGAAAAACTACTGTAGGCCACACTTGGGAATAAATTGCTACAACCTCATAATAATTTCTTTCGACAATGTTTATTTGTATTTCTGTGTGTGTGTGTGTGTGTGTGTGTGTGTGTGTGTGTGATTGGAGATAGTAAAACATTGAATGAATTTATTATGGCTATTATTTGACGAGATTTAAGTTATTCTTAAATGCTTATCAGCGTAAAGAAAATGCTGTCCTTATATTTGGGGAGGGGGGAGTTCTTTATCTTAAGGATCACGGACACTCAATATTGTTCTTCTGATTAAATTGGACATATTTAATGTCTGTCGTAAACGATAATTTTTTTTTTTTTTCAATTGAATTTTTTTTATTATAAATTAATTGCTTATTCATCCAGTAAAACGTTTCATTAATTAATGCAATGATCTTTAGGCAAATGTCTAGATTTCTACTTTGTTTTTTGTTTTACTTTTTACATGAACTCAGTCTAGTTCCGTAATAGAGATGAAAAAATTGCAAGAAATATAAATTCAGCATTGGATATGTTTTGTTAATTTTATCTCAAGTTCTGCAAATGCGCTTTCAGTTTCGAAGAGAGAGAAAAACGATCAATTAAAACTAGGAGTAAGGAGGATTTGAAGGCTTTCAAACAGAACCATTTAAAACTTTTATTAAAAAGGAACGGAGGAGTAATGTATAGTGGCTCGGACTGAGAAATCGGAGAGCCGATTTCGAATTCCAATCGAATCCATTACATTCATTTACGTGCTAATACCTTTGGGAAAGGCATGAACCTTCTTCTCCCCCCACCTTTGGATAAATAGGAGGACAGATCAGGCTCTATACCCTTGGATGGCAACTAGTCTACCGCAAAAAGAAATAGCAACGCCTAAGAAGCGTGTATTACGCATGGCACATGACTGACTGATTAAAAAGAACACTCTCACCCCAACGAAACTGATTTTTATTTTCTATTGATTAAAAACTGATTTTGTAAATGCTGACCGTAGATAATTTTGCCCAATGAATAGATAAGAAACGGCAATCAAAACTACAGTGTGGTCCGAAAGTCTTGTCCGCTCTATATAATACAATTTTCTATTTCTGATGGCTGACATTATCTCGTACAGTTTGGAAGAGAGGCTGCCTACAAGAGTATGGTCACATGATCGTGTGCATTCTGGCAAGAGTATCGAGGAATGTGCGACATGACTTCACTGCAAGATTCGGCAAACCTGTTCCTCCGAATAGGACAATACCGCA